TAATAAATAAATTTTAAGCCAGGCATGGTGGCCCATGTCTTTAATCTCAGCAGAAGCAGGCAGATCTCTGAGTTCAAGGCCAGCCTGGTCTACAGAGTGACTTACAAGACAGCCAAGGCTACACAGAAAAACACTATCTCAAATTTTAAAAATATACGAGTTCAGACTCTCAAAGCACATGTAAAAACATGAGGCAATAGAATGGTCTAGAATTCAGTGTTCTACTCTAATATGGGAGGTAGAAACAGGAGAATACTAAGAAGCTTGCAGTCCAGCTAGCCTACTATATGCAGTAGCAAATAATATATCCTGTATCAACAAAATGTAAGGTCAAAATTGATATGCACCATGGCACAAAAACTCTCACACACAAATATGCACACATACACACACACACACACACACACACACACACACACACATTCAAATATTTATCACTCGTTTTAAGTTTCCTTTTATGAATCCTTAATCTTCTCTGTCCTTTTCTAATAAAACATTGATGCTTCTATGACTTACAATTAAGGTTTTATAGGCAAAATGTATTAGCTTTGTATATGAATCAAATATTAACCAAATAGGGGATTTTTTAGATGTAAAATATCTGCACTACATTTCCTCATTTGTATTTTTTTTTTTTTTAGTTTATCATTCTGACTACTGGAATTCACTTCTCTTTTATGTATCAAAGACAATATTCAGAAAGTATATCTAATCTCAAAGGTTATACATGTCCATGTTCACATTTATATTATTTGTATATTCAGGTTTTTCTAGAAGAGCTCAAGTCATCAGCCTGTTCTACATGTAGAGTCTGAGACTATGGAATTGTATTTTTCATTATATCATCTAGTCATCTGTGAACACTTAGTCATGCTTTTACTAAAACTTTCTAAAGTATTCATGAAAGATGTGAATACATGTGATTAAAAATTATATACCATACTACTTAGCCTGAAAGGGAACATCCTATGCTGCTGAACAACTCTAGAGAAAACCAGCAACCCCCTATCTCACCAGAAATCTTGACAATGTTATTTGAATTCCAAATGAATTGAATAGTGCCTGAAGGATGATAATGCAATGTGGAGGATCTATTTCTGAATTTTTCTTAACATTGTGTGCGTGCACGTGTGTGTGTGTGTGTGTGTGTGTGTTTGAACATAATGTTATGAAGCCAGAGAAGGACATTGAACTTTCCATCCCTGTTCTGGAGTTATAGGCAATTGTGGGCCTATACACTTAAACTCCCATTCCCTGAAAGAGCAGTACGTGCTCTTAGCCACAGAGCCAGCTCCATACCCTTGACAGTGATGAATTTCAACAAAAACTAATAAATTAATGAGAAAGTCCAAAAACAAATTAATACACCTCTTAAAACCAGGTAGATCTTATTTCATATTTTTTGTTTATTATTAGTATATTGTTTTATTGCTCTAGTAAAGATATAGGAATATCATTCATAATGATATAAACTTTGAACTGTAGTAAGACCCTATTAACAAGTAATAAGTATAATTTGTGTATTAAAAACCTTTAATTTTTTTGTTTAAAATGATACTGTCTTCAAGAGAGAGGGTTGTCTGTTATTTCAACAAGAGTTTTAACACAATAATAATGTGAAGTTTTTCAGAATTAACTTATGAATTTGATGGAATCTAATTTAAAGACTAATTTTTCAAATAGTCCAAACATGCATGTGGCTATCAGAACACAACTGGCAGGAATTTGTTCTCTCTTTTGCTACTCAAGGCTTAGTGTTTGAACTCCAAACATGAAGCCTGGTGACAAGTGCCTGTACCTACTGAGCCATCTTACTGGCTCACACATTTTTATTATATAAAAATGTCTCCCACACACTTATGTACACCTGATTTTGGACAAAGAATCCAAAACAATATGATGGAAAAAAGACAGCATCTTCAACAAATGGTACTGATCTAACTGGATGTCCACATGTAGAAAAAATATAAATAAATCCATATCTATCACCCTGCATAAAACTCAAGTCCAAGTGGATCAAAGACCTCAACATAAAACCAGATACACTAAATCTGCTAGAGGAGAAAGTGGGGAAGAGCCTTGAACTCATTGGCACAGGAGACAACTTTCTGAACAGAACACCAACAGCTCAGGCTCTAAGATCAACAATCAATAAATGGGACCTCATGAAACCAAAAAGCTTCTGTAGAGGAAAGGACACTGTCAATAGATCAAAACAGCAGTCTATAGATTGGGAAAAGATCTTCACTAATCCTACATCCAACAAAGGGCTAATATCCAGAATATATAAAGAACTCCAGAAGTTAAACACCAACAAACCAAGTAATCCATTTAAAAAATGGGATACAGGGCTAAACAGTGAATTCTCAACATAGGAATCTCAAATGGTGGAGAAGCACTTAAAGAAATGCTTACCATTCTTAGTTATCACAGAAATGCAAATCAAAACAACACTGAGATTCCATCTTATACCTGTGAGAATGGCAAAGACCAAAGACTCAAGTGACAACACATGCTGGCAAGGATATGGAGAAAGGGGAACACTCTTCCATTGCTGGTGGGAGTGCAAACTTTTACAACCACTTTGAAAATCAATATGGTACTTTCTCAGAAAATTGGGAATAGTGCTACCTCAAGACCCAGCTATACCACTCCTGGGTATATACCCAAAAGATGCTCCACCATACAACAGGGACATTTGCTCAACTATGTTCATAGCAGCTTTATTTGTAAAAAAAAAAAAAAAAAAAAAAAAAACAGAATCTGGAAACAACCTAGATGTCCCTCAACCAAAGAATGGATAAAGAAACTGTGGTACATTTACACTATGGGATACTACTCAGCCATTAAAAACAAGGAAATCATGAAATTTGCAGGCAATGGATGGATCTAGAAAAGATCATCCTGAGTGAGGTAACACAGACCCAGAAAGACACACACGGTACATACTCACTTATAAGTGGACTTTAGTCATATAGCACAGGGCAGACATGCTACAATGCACAGACCACAAGTTTCATTTGTGCCCGCTAGGTAGGGGAGTGGGGTATCTCTGACATGGACTATGTTTCCTGCTTTTGGGTAACTTCCCCCTGATGGGACTTTCTTATCAGGCCACACGGGAGGAAGACAAACTCAGTCCTCATCTAAAGAGATGAGCTGGGGTGTCTGGGTAGGGGGCTCCTCTATTCTAACTATTAATTTTAAGAAGTCTTACATTCTGTTCACTGGTAAGATGTATATGTGGTTTTTAGAGTAATTTATTGATAAGAAGGTGAAAAACAATACATGCACTTTAAAATTTATTTTATTCTTATTGAGGTTTTTTGTTTTGTATATATGAACTTGTAACAACTCACAAGATGCTTCCACAGACTGTCAGACAAAATTTTAAAATCAAATTAATTTAAACTGTATTTGTAATGTAGAAACTGGTAACCAGTGTAAATGTCCAAAATGGACAGGATTTAGCAAACGGCTTACCTTCAGAAAAGTTTCAGAGAGCTGCGGATGGAACTCAGTGATGGGACAACCGTGCCCAGAGTCTTCCTCCCAACAGCGTCGAGAAGTTCTCAATATCATGTCACATCGTGAAACGTGAACTTGAGACTTAGAAACTCTGAATTCTTCATGCTTAAAAATTGCATTTTATAGAATTTGTATAACAAAATATTCAATATAAAAATCTAAACAATGATCACATGAAGTGGATATTAATCGTTGTGACCAGGCTCAAGGGACCAGAGTGTGTGACATGCATAAATTACAAACACAGAGAAAGCACTTCAATAACACAAAGATTTTCAGTGATTTACAAATCAATACAGACTCAGAAAATTCCCATTCACACATTCATTAGACAGAACACAGCAAAGCAGCCATCAGGGATACGATTGAGGTGTGATTTCTTGGCGACACCAGAGCTGTCCCTTCATAGGTGAGTGGACATCAGAAACCCCAGGCTGTTTTCTAAAACACAGAGCAGGCCACTGGCTCCACAAAATACATAAGGCTCAGTTGGTATGAAGGGTTTCCACATGCCAATTTCTAACAAGCAAAGCAACGCTGAAGTTGCTGTTCCAGCGAACATCACCGAGAACCATTCATCTACAGACAACATTTTTAGGTGACAATGGCAACAACTAATTGCCAGCGAGAGATTAAAGGATTACTCATCATAAGCGACTACCTGAGCAGCCCCAGATATTTTGTTTAATGTTGCTTTAAATTTTTCATTGTATTTATTTTAAATATTTTTATAGTTATTCATAATTATGCAAATATTTGAATGTGTATGTTTACACATGAGTGTGAGTGCTGGCTGGAACTAGATCTCCTAGAACTAGAGTTACAGGTGATTTTGAGCTGCTCCACGCTGGTTCTGCGCACTAAATCTAGATCCTCTGCATTCAGCTCCTTCCTTCCTTCCTTCCTTCCTTCCTTCCTTCCTTCCTTCCTTCC